CTTGACGCTCTTCAAGGACTTCTAGTCCCCGAGTTCCCGACTTGAAGAGGACCTCTTACTCTAATGGTCACATCGCAAGCACGTATCAGTCAGTTCTTCGTTCGATCCTCTCACTGGACGTTGGACAGTGTTCTGCGTTTTGAATAAAAGTGTGTTGTACTTCACATTCTGATCTAGCTGACCCACTTGTAACCTTTGAATGCTGGCTGCTCGCATTATCTGAATAGACAAAATAATAATGATGATGATCGTTCAGTTGCTACGCCCTTTCGGTGTCTAGCTGTCATGTTGCCCGAAGCAAGCCCGTGGGCTGGGAGACTGTCGGGTTGTTCAAGCCTAGACAGGATTTGAACAAAGCTAATGTGTAACCAGCTGTCAGGCAGCACGTGACGTCTTCCGTCTTGAACTAGCTATCTTGTTCTTTATCTGGAATATCATAAGTTAAGTATCGTACCAGCTGGGGCGAGATGGCCCAAAAGGTTAGAGCGCGAGTTTACTGACCGGAAGATCCGTGGTTCGGACCCGACCTCTGCCTCTCGGCTTCCCTTATCCGGGCTTGGGCAACCTGGCAGTATCTCAGCCCTCATGCTTCCTCTGGGTGGCATGGCAGCTGGGCACCGACAGGATGCTACAGCTGAACGATCGTACCGTCGAGACGGACGCTGTTTTGATATCGTAAACACGGAAGTGCGAATCCCTATGCGGGGGACTGATTCTCAACTGTACACATGCCTCTACTGACCAGGTTGTCCGCACCACACGAAGGCTGTTTTCCGAGTAGCTCAGTTTTTTCTTCCTGGCCGCTAACTACATTAGTTTCACTGAGTTGCGTAAATTGCTCGTGCGTTCCTACCAATTGCGTTTCATTTCGCTTCTTTGTTCAATGATTTGTGATGTTTGGCCATGTTTTCCAGCCCCGGATTTTTCACGACGAGATACTGGGATTACCGTTTTCACAGCGGCTGTCAGAGTCATCTCCTTTTCACATTCCCTCTGTGTTAGTTTCTTAGTTTCAGCTATTTCGTTTCCCCACTAAACCCCTTCAACTGTCCTCATACCCGCCAACTCAGTACGCATTAAGTGAACTTTGTTGCCCTTACAAAAATTCACGGCTTTCTATAGCGCATATTCACTTCACTGTCGGAATACTCTTTCTCTGCAACATTTCAAAACCGGGTTTTTTGATGTCATTTGTACTCTTACAGGCACTTACTAGCCGCAAAACTGGCAAACGAGCTTCCATCCAGTCATTAAATGGTGCCCCCCATCAAAGTTCACGTGCCTCGCTACTTCGGATGGCAGAGTCATTGATAGCTCTGTGTACTAGACAGGGATTGATCGCTCCGCCACGCAGTAGTCAACATTCGCTCACACGGACGTACGAGTCCGATTTGGGATTATCCAATCCGTCCTTGAACGAGTCAACCGCCAGTTGGAGGCGTCACATCGATCCATACACTCTGTCCCACCACGGTAGTAGCAGTGGATCTCTCTTGTCCGGCCCACCATTGACAACATTTGTCCAGTGGCCATCTGATGTGCGTGTGGAAGAACGCTTGCCATCCATGCGACCAACACCTCGACCTGTTCCACCCTCGCGCCCAAAGTCTGCTATTCTTCCAACGATGGAGATGCTTGAGTCGATCGATTCAAGAGCCATTGAAGTAAGCTACCTACCGTTCCAGGTTGTCCGTATCCCTTTTGGTGAATTGTACACTGTTGTGCAAATTCCTTCGACAGATAGCCGTTATGAATTGTGGGCAACGTATGACTTTGCAGAAGAGTACGGAAGAGATGGCGAAGATTTTGAGTGTTGTTGGTGCGGTAGCCTTCCATAATGGGGTCCTCGTAACCCTGCCCCTTGCACTTGGCTTGAGTCACTTCAAAAAATGGCTGATATCAGCAGTGTTCGTGCTGAGCAGTTTCTTTCCAGTTTGTCTGACTTAGCGCCTGGAGGTGTGGGCACCTGAGAATGCTTGTGAAAGACCAGCACCGGGTCCCTTCCCTCATCCACCCTTTCCTTGTCACTGAAGTCTTTAGATTTAATTGAATCAACTGTGTAGTTGTATTGCAGTGAAGCACCAATGTCAACTCTGATGTTGTCCTCTCTGATGATGATGATCAATACTAGCTGTATGGCAGGCTTATTGAGATGGGTTGATCAAACTCTGCTCCTAATCCGTTTTTTTTATTTTACGCGACATATAGCCTCAACTTGAGTTATTCGAATCGTAGCTGGGACGTACGAGTACCGGATGATGAGCCCGGACCCTCTCATCTAGACGATATAAATAGTATATAAATAGACGATATATGTAAGGGTCCCGTACCAACTAATTACATTTGAATGAACACTACAGAACAAGATAATGAGTTGTCAGTAGTAATGGCAGTAACAATCGTTCGGCTGCATACCCGGTCTCGAGGCCCAGCTAGCACGCCACCCTAGGGAAGCACGAGGACGTTGCTGCTGCCAGGTTCAGCAAGCCCAACCAGGAGCAGTCGAGATGTTAAATCATGGATCTTCCGATCAGGAGGTTCGCGCCTTCGCCACCGAGCCACCTCTGGCTTATAATGAGTGACCGAAGAATTAGCGTTGTGTTTATTCTGGGCTAAGTCAATTTAAGACCTACTGATGTGGCAGCTCTGGGGACATTGGGCTTTCAACCTGACCAGTAAATGTGGATGAACAAAGTACGAATCAGCTGATTGAGAAAAAACTGTCCCTATCTTGGTTTTCGTTCGCGGAGGCCGGGGCGGATTTTACTGGGGAGAAATAGAATGTGGTCGAACTATTTCCGAAGTGTGTCTGCTATTCCAGATGTTCCGGATTGCACGAACGCCGGGTCAATTTTCCCGGGGTACGTGCGTGATATCTGTCTGTCCTGAAGGTACCTGCATCACGTAATTGTACGATCGCATGACTGACTACGTCTGCGGTTGGTAAAAGCGCGTCTTGGTTGGTCATAACGGCCAGTCAGAATCATCTCGTCGGTGCCTGCCGCTTCGTGACAAAGACGGTGGCTTGACTTTGTCAACAAGTCCAGGTTTAGGCAACCTACCGCTATCCCAGCCCTCGCGCTTTCTTCGAGTGGGATGGTGGCTATGCACCGTAACGGTTTTGTGACTGAATATTTATTATTATTACTACATTACAGACATTCGTGGAAATCTTATTTTGTAACGTCCCTCCCAGGTTACAATCTGTTTTGATTTACGCCAGTTGGCGGATTGGGAAACCAAGCAGCTGCAACAGCAGTATAACTTTTGGGCAACACGAACAGATGAAAAAAGTACACACAACTACTGCCGTTGGGAAAGCATAGGTTGCCAGTGTACTCAGTGCGTCAATTCACCTACAGAGACAGGTTGATGTCCATCACGTGACGACGCCCTTCGTTTTTCCACTCTTCCAACCCCACTATCGTAAGGTCAGGCTTTGAAGCGGTCGCGTCAAACCTTCAGTTTCTGTACTGCGTACTTTTCGGTCGTCAAGACAACGCGTACGACAATGCCGGATAAGCCCCCACCCGTAGATTTTGGCATTTATCCAGTGCACAGCGTTACACGCTTATCGGTAGTTGGGACTGTGTATGACGCAGGAGGCTGTTTTCCACAAAACCAGGGTATCCAGCGATTGGGGCTACACTGGCCGACCTTGAACAGCACGTCCAAACATGTCGCTGTTTCTTTTGTTGTTCCAGCCAGAAATTTCCAATGTTGCCCGCAATGAACTTCAAACTCTTCTTACGCACGATTTTCCTCTGGGGCTGAACAGTCTACAAGCTGTGTGGCGGTGTATTAAACCTCACCTAGTGATATTTGCCAGCGTAGAATGTAATTTCGGCAGATACTCTGATTTGCGCACAGGAGACCCGATGGTGAGTGCAAGTAGAACACAAGGTTGACGGGGACTGCACCTACCTATGAGCCTCAGGAAACCGGTCATGGGCCGTCGATCAGTTTTCAGCAACTTTATGAGTAGTTTGCTACGTCAGACTAATTGTTTAAGATTACTTCATCTCAATTATTTCTCAACTGAGGCTGAGCGTACTTTAACTGTTGTAATGGGTTTCATGGGAATTTTGGGGTAAAGAAGCTATATTTGACCTCCTTATGTGTGTACAGTGTCCCAAGACGGTGCTAGCAGCCGCTTCGGAGACATGCATTCGAGGAATTGTGTGACGTACGATTCCGTCGAATAAGACCGCCGTTTGAACCAAGAGTTCAACGATGGGGACTGAGGACGTCATTTTGGTCGACTTTCATTAGACTCCTTGAGCTGATCTCTATGTTAAGTGTTCAGGTAAATCGGTATGACAAACGAGTTAGGTTCCTCTCAGTTTTGAGGTTTCAGTTGTCACGGGTAAAAATCGAACTCGTTCAGCTGTAGCACCTTTCCAGTGCCTAGCCGCCATGGCACATAAAAGAGGCACGAGGGCTGGGCTACTGCCGGGTTGCCTAAGCCGAGACATGGGAAGTCGTGAGGCAAAGGTCGGCTTCGAACCATGAACCTTTCGGTCAGTATTTCAGCGCTCTAACCACTTAGTCCACCTCGGTCACGGGTAGCTTTAACCATGGATACTACCGTCAGAATGAAGACACGTTGGGCGGTTCGCATTCATCAATCCTATCGTGATTTGATGCCTGTCTGCCGTGTTTGGGTTGGAGACACAGGGTGTCAATAGGACTTGAATGAATTTGGCACTCTGCTTCAATATTCTTCTCCAAATAGGCCAATTAGATAATTTCACAAACTTCGCAAACTTTCAAACGGTCTTTCACGGTGTCCTCCACGTTAACCTAGCTGCCAGCTTGACGTTTTTCCATCGTGGTGCACCCTTTTCTCCTCTTTTCCATTTCAGTGCACATCGGCGAACTTCGTCTCGTTCACAGAATTGGTACATACACTCACGGCCGAAATGTCGGATGATGTACACATTTTGAGGTGCGTCCCGCGTTTTCATCAGTCTTCGCTAGTCGGTCGAATTTAACACAGATCTGGGGGTCTGACAACGTTTGCTTTAATCTCTTCTGTTGAATGACCGCTCATTGGAGGTGGCTGTTCTAAGGGGACTGGTCGTTCCAATTTTTTAAGCGTTCTTGGTGTTTGGCGTGGTGCTACTAGCACACTGTGTTGAGCCAAAAAGGTAGCGACTTCATTTCCTCGTCAGGTTTAACTGACCAAGGATAGATCTGATGTACAGCAGCCTGGCCGTTTAATTTTGTGACTGCCCTTCTTCCGTGCGATTCACATGCTTCGGTGTTCGATTTGCTACGTCATGGATTATTCTTTCCGCTCAGAGACCGGTTGCTGGTTTTGTTCCGTTTCATCAATCTAATGCAGAGTGTGGACTGTAAGACCCTGATGGTAATGGTTCTGGGTTCGACTTACATCCATGTTGCCTCTACCAATCTCATGCCTGCTCTGGGGAGTGCGGTAGCTGTACATCGTGAAGAGGCCACAGCCAAGTGGCGTTTTTCTGAGGTGCCACTATTCTGAAACATTGGCTACCTGTGTTGAGCGTGCCAACTTGACAAGCTAACCCACGGAAGGATACAGCATCTCTCTGGCTAACTCAGGTATACGGCATAATATTACCTTGTTTTGATGACATATGATTGATAAATGATGATAACAGCTGTAGCACCCTCTTTGGTGTGTAGCTGCCATGCCATCCACAGGTAGCACGAGGGCTGAGATACTATCAGGTTGCACAAGCCTAGATAGGGGAAGTCGAGATGCAGATGCCGGTTTCGAACCACGGACCTTCCGTTTAATAAGTTCGCGCTGTAAACAACGAGCTATCTGATTGAATGATCGACTGGAGTTTCACTTCGTGTTGTCGCAGCTCCCACATTCATCTAGATCCTCTGTTACTTTACTTCAGGGCATTGTTCACCTGGACTGTTTTTCTCGATGTCCAATTCCGAGAGTTCGATCCTGTGGCTCCCCCAGACTCCCTGGTTGGCACACTTCGACGAATTCGTAGTGGGCAATTGACGCGCAACGACTTGCTACACAAGCTCTGTCGGTAAGTGCTCTGGGTTTGTTGATCTTCTGCCGTAATTCTCTGTCCTGTTTAGATGGCACGCAGATTTAGCGTTGGACCTACTTGCATGAGTATGCGTGGGCCTGTGAGTCTGACCTAACTTCAACCGACTCAGCTTGAGAGTCACACCGAAAGCCATCAGCTGGCCATAGCATAAGCAGTGAAAGGAAGGGCGCCTTTGTGTGCGGAGTTGTCCATTGACCAGCACGAACTAAGCGGTCGTGAAAGTTGGAACCTCATTTATAGAGAGCTTTCAAAAAGCGAACATCTTCAGGTGTTCCCTTGGACTCTCCCGAGTGCTTTTTGACAATAACCAACAAACACTGCAAACTGGTTCAATACTTGCCACACCAACCTTTCATTGGGTGCTTGGACGGTGTCTTGACACTTGTCCTGGCACTACTCGCTCATTCCATCAGTAGTATGGCCGTCACATCATTGTCCTCTGTCAATTCCTTCACTTTTTACCGTAGTTCCGTACTCCAATCCCCTACACAACTTGATACAATTTTATCCAATAGCCAGGGACAATCGTCTCCATGTGTTGTAAACAAACAAAGGATATTGGTGCAATAGGAACATAGTTTTGTTATTGGAAATCGGAGAAATTCTACCCCAACTTACTCGTCGGCGCTTCGCCACGGACACAAAATCCGCGAGTTAGTGTCCCTCAAGTCCGTTTTTGCTGATGCAGATGCGTTCACGAGTTGAGGGTCTCTACGCCTGTCGGCAGTCACTTACGGAGCTAATGTTCAAGTAGCAAGACACGCTGAGCGTCGAAACGCGCTTCGGCTTTCGCTGCCATCATCCAAAATCAAAACTTATTCGAGCCCTCCCCGTAGTCTTGGTTCTCCTCGGTCTTACAGACCATTGTTCAACTACCCACCTAGCTATCACGTGATCCATTGCCATGCGTTTTACATGGTGAGCCAGCGCAGCCAGTGGTGCCCACGCCGCTAGGGTCTACCGGGCTGTTCTGTTGATCTCACAACCGTACGATGGCGGACCGTCGACGCCCCGTCTACGTTACATTGGCTATCTGTACGGGATTCATCACTTTAGCCCAGAGGGATCGACAATCTGACCCTATTATTCACGTTTTTATACCGCGCGCCGGACGAAAGGTTTTCCCAGCTGGTATGGCTTCAATTTCCTGTGAAACTTGGACTGTTTTTATCCCCATGGTACCCCGATAACCACCCACCTGCAGATCGAAGTTTGTTCACCTTATTTCTGCCAACTACCTGCGGTCTAGTTCGAGTCGTCGAACATTTGACGTGTAGGATTTTGGTGCAGGACAATCGTTTTTTATCTGTTCGAGCAAAAATTTGTGCGCCAAGTGCTAAAAAATTGCTCATCCACGAGAAACATGACCACATGATGTAGAAACCAGAAATCGCTGTTATAGAGGATGATAACAATGGGTTGCCCTGACCTGGCAGTTCACTCGCAGACTACTCGAGTGAACGACTGCTTATTCATACTTCTTGTTAGATTTATGAACTATTCGACCATAGTTGCTTCTTTTGTTGGCACGATAACTCAAACGACTCACGTATGTGCTCACCGAGGCGATCGAACCCTTTCTTATCAACTCCAGGTTTGCCGCACTCCATGGTCAATTAATCAATGGCTACTCCAAAGGCATCGGATATCGTCCGGGAATGCCAGTCAAGAACAACCGTCTATTCGCCTCTTCGTGGTTGGCGGTCTATGTGGCTGGTGGCTGGCGTTTTATCAATGCCGACCAAGCTGTTCGACAGCCCCAAGATTCGTCGATAGGTAAGTGTATCTCAAGGTCTTGAAATTTAATTAGCCTGCTTTTACCATGTAAATCGTGAACGACAGAAAGCAGCTGTTTAGTTGAACGCATTGACAGCAGAATGGCTATCGAGTTCAGTTTATGTTGTCACTTGGCAGAGTTGATCAGAACTGAAGAGTTACGTGGAACACTACTTAGTTAGCTTGGTTGCTGCCACGTTACCCAGGCGTGAATACGAGCAGTCGAGATACCGGGGTCGGATTCGAACCACGGACCTCCCAGTCGTGTGGCTGAATCGCGGGTGTGCGAGTGTTGTAAATTGCTGGATGGTAGTGCAGCTCTGTATCGGTCCCTTGGCTTCCTGCTCCGCCCAATATGGTATATGAAAAGGCACAGTAGCTCTACACAGCCCTTTATGGAGACAAAAGGAGAATCATTACACCTGTATTTATAGGGTAATCACAGAGTGTTCCACAAGGTCGTGCTAGAACCACCGTGAGTGGGCGAGAAGCGTCGAGTCAAAGATGCTCGATCCGGATTGGCTGTCATTCTGACCAATCAGAGCATGCCTTCGTTTGGTCCTGCACACGACACATCCGTCGAAATGATGTGATGTTCGGTTATTAGGGACAGCGAGCTTACCGAAAAACTAGCTCCAAGCGAAGTATTGTTTCGTCTGTACTATGGAATACGCGTGGAAAGGTGTTGAAAGCAAGTACGTTCGACTGGATTCTTCCTGTCCAACCACGGAAGATAAACGAGGGAACATCGCCTGGGAGACATCCTCGGCTGGTAGTGTGATACATTAAGTTGCAATCTGCTGACGGAGAGGCTCTCGTTCCCCACCCTCACTCCTGGATTTTTTATTATTCCTCTTTAGGTTTGGGGGACTTGACGATCTGTCGTTGTGGAGCTCCCGTCGGTTTGTGTGATAGCAATGCGTGAACTCGAGATAACTTGTTGGTTAAGGTGCGGACCAGAGGTTCCACGGTTTACAACTAACTTTTGAATCTCGACTGCTCCTGTCTAAGCTTGGGCAACCCTACAGTATCTCAGGCCTGGTGCTCCCTTCGGGTGGCATGGCAGCTGAACGACTGTATCGTTACGATTATGATAGCTATACCCGGAGTGGTGTCGCGTATGATTTGATTTGACCAACCTGAGCAATTACCACATAAATTATCTTTTAGCTGCACCAATTCAGCCTTTGTTTTTTGTACATTCATTTCTTCATCAGCGGAACCGACCGATTCCAATCGATCGCAGTGGAGCAATCGCTGTGACGAATTCTTTTTTCTCACGGACCCGGAACAGCACATTTTTGTCAGTTTTCCAGAGCACAAGACATGGCAGTTGTTGAACAAACCAATTAGCATCGAGCGGTTCGCTCATCTGCCGCTCCTCAAATCCGCTTTCTTCAATTCCAATTTGTCTTTGAAGAAAAACTACGGAGACTGTTTGATTACCACTAATGGTCAGGTACGTTTTCCTTGGTTTCTATTGTGGGATCTTTGTTGCTGTGTGATCTGATGTGGGCGTTAGATCGGAGGTGGACCTTTGGAGAAGTAGTATGACCTACGACCGTCAACTGATTGTGTCCATTTGGTTGTTACCTGCCTGTCTTCCCCGACTGAATATGCTAT